ATCATCTCCCGGAGAAACCAATTTCTTCTGTGATCCGGCCCAGAGCCCAAAGATCACCTGGTTAGTGGAAAAGAAGCGCAGTGTTAAAACCCAGGGAGAAGAGGAGCGGGGGATGGATGGCATCTTTGAGGTTTGGCTCTCACCGGAGGCAGGATCTGAGAACCCGCCCCAGCATTGCGAACCAGGGGATCCGCTGCCCTCAGCCCACCGGCTAATTCAAAGTTGCGCGCCACCACGCCCCTGGCCCTTGGGGGCGCCCGCAAGAGAGCGAAAGTGGAGAACGGGCCTCGGATCCTCACCCGCACCCTAAGGTGGACCTGCCGGTGCCACAGTGTCCTCCGTCGAGCCCGGACCCCTAGCGGGGCCCGTCCTCTCACCCAGGTCTCCGCTACCTCGGGCCGATGAGCTCCGACCTCGGTCGTCAGCTCCCGCGTGCGCAGGGGAGGGAAGGAGGGCCGGCTAGCTTCGCAGTCTCGGGCGGGAGATGCAGATCCCAGGGTTCGCCCGCCGCGGGCGGGGGAGGTGCGGTGTGGCGGGCGCCCGCTTAGGATGCCCTCTGCACAGCTCCCTCTCCAGCTCCACGCCTGACTCCCAGCACCGCGGTCCCCAGACGCCGCAGCCGCCTCGGGAGTGAACTCCGCACTTGGAAAATCGATCCGAAACGCGCAAGGGCCTCCCATTGGTCTTCAACCGGTGGGAGGCTCTGGGCTGAGGGCGCGGGGGCTTCCAAGGGGGCAGAGGACGGGAGAGCCGGCTGTCCATCACAGGCCACGCCCACCCAGCTCACCTCCCACTACAGCCCCGCCCATGGGCGGTGAAATCCGTGTTCACTACCCCAAAAACTTGTCTACTCCCCGAGAGATTTATTGGCTGGAAGGCCGTGGGAAGCTCCACCAGCAACCAATTGAAACACACAGTCGGCCCCATGAAGGCGGGGCACGCTTCCTCCGTAGCCAATAGAGAAGAGGTATAGCGAAGAGCTTCCTGATTTCTGGGGTCGACTGAAGATGGCGGCCGCCGAAAGGGGTTGGTGCTTGTGCGGGTTATTGAGGTGAGGAGTCGGTGGTGTGGGCTCGCAGGCGTTTTCTATATCGCGGTAGTGTTTGTCGTCCGGTGCAACTGAAGTTTGTGGGGAAGGGCTTTCCTTGTCATGAATCTAGGCTATTTTCTCAAGGCCAGTAAGCTCTCTCCCTCTCACTTTGGGGTCTTCTAAATAGACTGGAGCGGACTGGGTTAAAGATTCTGTTGATCGCCTTTTCTTCGCCTGCCCCACTGCTGACTGAGGCGTCGAGTCCCCCTCCATGTTTTAGCTTTATCCTTCTCTTCGTCGCATTCCAGTTAGTCTGTCATAAATTATTCATATTTGCTCCTCATTTTCCATTATGATTGAGTCACAAATCATTTTCCAGTCATGTCTGTCTTTTTGGTAAAAAAGACACAGAATCTTCCTTCTCACGTCTTCATTTCTCTTTCACTCACCAAACCTTCGTTGTTAACAGTCACTTACGTATAAAGTTTCTTTTGAATCGTCTGCATCTTGATCATCCATTGCTTTTCATTTCTGATGTAATAACAGTTATATAAAATATTACCTTTCTCTTTATTACATAGGTAGTAAATTGTTTCTTGTAGAAAGGTTAGGAAACAGAGGAGCAAAAACGAAAATTCGCCAGGAATGCTACCATACGGAGACAATTTCTGTTAATATTTTAGTGAAAAAACTCCCAGACTTTTTTTCCACATTTGTCGTTGTAATACTACTGTAATTTACTTGTCTTGAGCTACACTAATAGAACAGAAAGACCTGGTCTGTTCTACCTAAACAGTTCTTTTCACATTTACATATTTTTGTTCAGGTTGAATTAACACA